CTACAAAAAAGATTTAGGAGTTGGCCCTCGTTATTGCCCGAGTATTGAACATAAAGTTTGCCTCTTTACTGACAAAGAAAAACACCAAATTTTTGTGGAACCCGCATCAAGGGAATGGGACACCATTTATTTACAAGGTTTATCGACTTCTTTGCCGACTGAAATTCAAGAAAAAGTTTTAAAAACTCTTCCTGGTTTCGAAAAAGCCCAGGTACAAAAATGGGGTTACGCAATTGAATACGACGTGCTAGATTCGACACAATTAAAAAACACCTTAGAGACTAAATTAATTAATAACCTTTTTACCGCCGGGCAAATTAATGGCACTACTGGCTACGAAGAAGCCGCTGCCCAAGGGATAATAGCGGGCATTAACGCTAATCAAAAAGTCAAAGGATTTCCACCACTAATTGTGGGTCGGGAGCAAGCTTACATTGGAGTTTTAATTGACGATTTAGTGACTAAAGAAATTAATGACCCTTACCGACTTTTAACTTCCCGGGCAGAGTATCGCCTGCTTTTACGGCATGACAATGCCGATACTCGCCTTTATCCAATCGCTCAGCAACTAGGATTATTATCCAAGGAACAGCAAAAAGAGTTTCAACAAAAACAAGAATTACAGGGAATTATTATCCAAAAGTTGCAAGAATTAAAATTTACTTTGGCTGAGTTGGGTCAATACTTTCCTCAACTGGATATTAGCAAATGAAAAACTATTAAAATAACTAATGCTTATAATTTATTAGCCAAAAGTAGTAAACTTTCCTTGGTAGAATTAAGCCCTTGAATTTCCGAAGTCCAAAAATTGGCTTGGGAAGCCCAAAGAGAATGCGAAATCAATATTAAATACGAAGGATACATCAAAAGGCAAAAGCAGGAAGTAGAAAAAATGAAAAAATCCGAAAGTAAATTATTGCCGCTCAATATTGACTACGACAAAATTCCTAATTTGTCCTTAGAAGAAAAAGAAAAATTGAAAAAAATTCGTCCTCGTTCTTTGGCCCAAGCCGGAAGAATCGCCGGAATTAACCCTACTGGCTTACAAGTGCTAGGTCATTATTGCCGAAATGCCAATTCGCTAACGAAAGATTCCTAAAATTTGATTTGTTTTTTTTGCGCCTGAAGGTTTTTTTTGGCCTGTAAAACAGTTAAAGTTAAAATAAAATATTGAGTAATTGAT